ACTCTCCATTCTTATCATCATTTAATAAATATTATTTTTTGTCTCTTACCTTCGTCTCCGGCTCTGATTCTGCATGTGGGTTAGAAAGTTAAACTCCGACATGACATTGTCTATTTTTTGCTCATTTTAAATATATTTTTAATAATTTTCAAAAATATTTTTAATATTTTACATTTTTTGTTTTTATGAAGCGCCTCATGATTTGTATCTTGAGAGGCGCCATTAAAAATGTTGTTTCTTCTTCTTTTTCTTCGGCCCAATCCACACTTGCGCCTTTTAATTGTGTGATCCCGACCAGGGGTGGTGAATGTTTTACAACAAAACATCAATGATGGGAAATTCATTTCAAGTCATTGTTTGTTTGACAGTTGTTAATAAAGGTTTCTAAAAAAAGTACCACAGCGACCAGAATCCTGGCATGCATTGTAGTCGATAACGCAATGCTCCCTATCTCAATTCGGCAATCATTTGTACTTGTGTGTACTATGCCCTATTGCACTTGTAGGAGCCATATGTGTCATTTCTTTTTGCGCACTTGAGAGGAGGCTTTGCCTCATGTTATTGGTTAATTGCTTGTGGAAGCACCAGCCTACTTAAGCCAACACAGATTGGACTCAGGTGTTGCTGGATGGGACAAACAGTTTTTTTACTGTGTGGCGAGGACTGTGGCTGTGTGTGACGGACTCTGCGGACTGTCATTGGGGCAAGTAACGCATCCACTGAAACCCACTTTAACTGCTGTAAATGGATCATGGACATTTTGGAACAAGACAACATAACAAACATCATCAAAAATAAACTCAAGCTGCATTTCTTTAAGCACACGTAAAGACCACCCGCAACAGCAACCAGGTAGTGCCAGTGTATAGGGCATTGGCGCTACAGCACTAGTTCTCCATGTTCCTGTAGACTGCAGGGTGCAGTGCAAGAATTGGTTTTGGGCCTTCTTCTCTTTTGGACCCACGAGCTACAGGATGAGTGAAGTGAGCTGGAGCCTTGGGAATCTGATCCCAGGCAACAGACAACCGGGAGTTTAAAACCTTAACAATGATTTTAAACTTGCATGCAACTTTACTTAATTAGATTTAATTCTAAAAAACATTTTTATCATATTATTTGCAGATAGGTGTGATAACATTTCATAAATATCTTTTTGCGTTATGGTAAAATCAATAAAGACACAGTGATTTGTGAATGTGTGTGTGTGTGTGTGTGTGTGTGTGTGTGTGTGTGTGTGTGTGTGTGTGTGTGTGTGTGTGTGTGTGTGTGTGTACCCTTGTGAAGACAAATTTGGGGTATTTACTAACCTTCTTACGACCGATGGCCCTTGTTAGGACCAAAACCCGGTCCTAATACGGAGTACTCTCAAGGGGTGAGGTTTACAGATAAGATGTGAATTGAGTTTTTGTTACAGATAACTTTAGGAATAAGTAAGTAAGTAAGTAAAACTTTATTTATATAGCACTTTTCACAGATAAAATCACAAAGTGCTTCACAGCATCTATAAAAAGGCAAAACAGGACAGGAGCACAAGGTCAACTTACATAAAAGCCTGTCTAAATAAAAGTGTCTTCAGCCACTTTTTAAAAGAATCAACAGTCGGCCACACGAAGAAACAAGGGCCGGGCGTTCCAAAGTCTGGGAGCTACAGCTTGAAAGGACAGGTCCCCTCTAGTTTTAAATCTGGTTTTAGGGACCTTCAGTAGGTTTTGACCCGAGGACTGTAGAGTGCGGCCAGAAGAGTGAGGGATTAAAAGGTCTGATAAATATTGTAGAGCTTGTCCATTAAGAGCTCTAAAAGTCAAAACTGAAATTTTAAAATCAATTCTAAACTACTGGTAAGGTTAGGGTTAGGGTAAGGGTTTGGGTTAGGCATAGTGGACTCACTAAAATGAATGGAAGTCAACGCAAAGTCTTAACATGGGTGTGGGTGTGTGTGTGTGTGTGTGTGTGTGTGTGTGTGTGTGTGTGTGTGTGTGTGTGTGTGTGTGTGTGTGTGTGTGTGTGAGTGACTGGTTGTGTTTTAGGGGTAACCCTAGAAGTATGAAGGTCAATCTGTTTCAAAAAGCACAAACCTGTAGATCTGTTGCGTGTATTTGTACTACATGATGGGTGCTTGAAAACAGTGTGTGTGTGTGCGCGTGCAGTACAGTGTGAGGAGCTGTACACCAACACCCGTAAACCTGTAAAGCTAAATATGCACCTGTAAGAAACACTCACATGCATTTGAAATAAAATACAGTTGTGTGTGACATTTTCAACTACAAGTCTGTAAACACAAGTGTACAGATCTGTTTCTGCACACGCTCAACTTTTTTATTACAGTTGCACAGCTTTCCTCTCACACATCTGATTTTTGAAACTATTTTCACGATTAATATGTGTCAAAATGCACAAGTTTGTAAATTTGTTGTCTGATTCCGTACAACACAATGTGGGCTTGAAGATTGGATGTGAGTGTGTGTACCGTAAAAGGTGAGCTTGAAGTTTTGAGGTGAGTGTCTGTGCATTAAAATGTGAGAAGCTGCACATCAACATGTGTGAAATTGTGAAGATAAATGGTACTTGTAAGAAAAAGTAAATTGTATGTGAAACAAAATAAACTTACATGTAAAATTTTCTTCTGCGACCCAGTAAATACAACTTCTCAAATACGTTTCTGCGCATGCTCAGTTGTTGTTTTACAAGCGCACAACTCTCCTCTCGCGAGTCTGACTTTTGAAACACTTCTGGCAGGTTGTGTGTTGCAAATTGCAGCTGTGTGTATCTGCAGAGGCGAGCGGAGCAGGGGATGAGGGCGAGGGTGGGGGCGGAAGGAGGAGCCACAGAGGGAGGGTTGTCATTGGTCGGCTCTGGTTTCCAGGACAACAGGCTCAACCAATCAGAGTGAGAGCTGCGTTTTTCCCTCGGCTTTCAGTCCGCTGCCGTCTGCAGTTCGCGATGGCTGAACGAGCTGGGGTAAGTACATTTCAAAGGACTTTCTAAACTTATTTTAGTCATTTCCTCGTCTTTTTATTTAAACAAGGTGACACACTAACATAACGTCATAAAATTTATACCATTATTAAGGCCTTATAAGATATTTGTACAAATATGTAGTCTAGCTAAAGTTTATATGAGCTGCTTTGCTAAGTTAGCAGAAACAAAAACGCCACTGCTAACACTGAAGTCTTGCATTAAGGCCACTGTGTTTGGGTATAATCCCAGGGGTGTTTCTCAATGTCAGGCTTTGAGGACACTGTCCTTCCTTGGTCAAAGAAAACAGTTAAATGGAGCTGACTTGCGTCACGTGACCAGGGCTCCCGTGATGGTCACATGACGTGCGGCAAAGTTATAATTATACTTATAAGTTGTATAATGAGCATTTTACTTTTTAAATTGCGTGTATATTGCTTGAATTACATGTATAAGGGAGTTACTAATTGCTGGCCATCAAAGCTGCAACGATTAGGCAGCACCAACTAACCAACTTCTGATTAAAAAAATAAACATTTTAGATATCAGCCTGATAGTTACAATTAGTTTTTTTAATCACCAGTAAAACAATAAAAAGTAATCATTTGAAACCTTTAACTCTTGTTTCCTTTCTCGGGGATCCTATTAATAATAACTGTTACATGTGATATTTAAAATCTGCATTTGATGGCTCTTTTAGTAACCCTTCATTTTTGTTTTTCAGGAACTGCTGCTCAACTATCTGCTTGAAAGACTTTACAACCGTTCCTCTAATTGGCTTGATCGAGTTCCTCTAGATCTCGATTTTTTGGAATTTGTATGTTGTCAGGAGCTGGTTATTCTGGGTGCTATCTCAAACCATTTGACGTCCCTCAGGACATTTTAAATGCACTTGCCCAAGTTTATCAGAGACCTGCAGTCAAAATAAAAAAGCACAAATTATTGTTGCTCACGAAAGAGGAGCCATTGGTCGTCCCAAACTACTTATTCCTGAGAAATACACAGAACACCTCATTTCTTTAGGTTTACCTGTCACGTGTATTGCACAGCTGCTGGGGATATCTAGAGTTACATTACACAGGCAAGTGAAAGAATGGGGTTTAAGTGTGAGCCAAACTTACAGCACCATGACTCACGATGAGCTAGACTCTCTAGTAATAATAATAATAATAATACATTTTATTTCAAAGCGCCTTTCAGGACACCCAAGGTCACTTTACACAACACACGTAATAAAATACAATAAAACAATAATAAAACCCAAAGAAGAAAAAACAGAGAGAAACATTTCAATAAAATCAGAGGTTGTAGGCAGATTTAAACATGTGTGTTTTGAGTTTTGATTGGAAAAGGGTAAAACTGTCGATGTTCCTGATGTCTGGGGGAAGTGAGTTCCAGAGTCGAGGAGCAGAGCGGCTGAAAGCTCTGCTCCCCATGGTAGCGAGACGGGCAGAAGGAACCGCAAGATGGATGGAAGAAGAAGATCTGAGTGAACGGGACGGGGTGTGAATACTTATAAGGTCTGAGATATATGGAGGAGAGAGGTTGTGGATTGCTTTGAAGGTATGGAGGAGAATTTTGAAGATGGGCCTGAATTTAACTGGGAGCCAGTGGAGCTGCTGGAGAACCGGCGTGATGTGGTGAAAGGAAGGGGTTCTGGTGATAATACGGGCTGCTGAATTCTGGACCAGTTGCAGTTTATGAAGGAGTTTGTTGGGGAGACCATAAAGAAGTGAATTGCAATAGTCGAGACGGGAGGTGACGAGGCTGTGGACGAGAATGGCGGCAGTGTGAGGGGTCAGTGAGGGACGAAGACGGTTTATGGAACGTAGATGGAAGTATGCTGACCGAATTAAGTTATTAATGTGAGCCTGAAAAGAAAGGGAGCTGTCGAGAATGACACCCAGACTCTTGACATGAGGTGAGGGGGAGACTGTGGCACTGTCAATAGTTAAAGAAAAGCTGTCAGATGTTGAGAGGGTGGAGTTAGTGCCAACTAGAAGAAGTTCAGTTTTATTGCCGTTTGATCTAGTGTCACAGATCCATGCCAGAAACCCAAATGCAGGGTATAGATTGATAATAATAATAATGCATTGAACTTATATAGCGCTTTTCAAGTCACCATGATGAAAGGTCTGCTGAAGTCACAAGGATATAGACTTCAGTGGGAGCGTGTTCGGTCCTCTATGCGCAGATTAGACACTGCAGGCGTGGTTTCCTGAATGTCCTATCTCCGTTGTGTGGTCAGAAGAACGTATTCTGTGCCTAGCCCACAATCATTTTATTGCAGGAGCTTTACATTCCACAGATTGAATGGGAATCCAGTGGACTCATCGACAATGAACACAACTCTAGTGTTCAAGTTCCAGAAGTTGAATGCCCGCTAAGTCCAGGAGAATATTCTGGACTCTGTGCAGCTGTGGATCCACTGAGGTCAATTTTGGGATTGACAGTTATTTAGCCACACGGCATTACATGCAAACCATTGGCTATAATAAAATCTTTCATTTTTTGCATCTTGTCATCAATGACTTGTATAAAATGTCTGTGAAGGATCTTCATAAGTCTCCATTATCTAACTGAACACGTTATTTTAATCTCCGTTATCTCTTACCACATCTGAACTTGAAAGTACAGATTAAATGACTCGTGAGCATTTGAAAATGTTTGCATGTTAATATTCTTCGATGGCAAACTAAAAGAATTAAACCTTCTTAAGTTAAAATTATAGTAATCTTGTGTGTACAAAAAATCTAACTGCCCTTTCTTATTCTCTTGGATATTGAAATTCCCAAATTTGTGAGAATAATGAAAGTTTTGTTGCAATTTGATGTTTTTTTTTATTTAAAAACCTGCAAGTCTAACGTGTTAATATAGGTTACAATCATTTGTGAATTCAATAAAATTTTTTAAGTTTTTAAAAAATTTTTTTATTAATAACATCTTGAACTTAAGCAAGTGACAGGAAAAAACATTTAGCATTAAGCTACAAAAATATTGTTCTATTGTCATGACCCTGGATGCAGCAACGTTTTGTTTGTTGCATATGTATAAAATGCAATCTTGAAAATGATTTCTCTACTTGTAAAATTACAATAAAACATTTATCATATAACACAGCTGTGCCTTACTTGTAACTCAATATTCCTGAAACTTTCAGCTGTAACTTGATGGTTAAATAAAAAAAAGATTTGTTTGGTATAACCTGAACAGCACTGGCAAATAGCATGACGTTAAACTTTAGATCAATCCAAAACCATGAACATTGGTTGCTATGCAACTTTCAAGATGATTGCGAAACATCAAATGTTGTGTAGTGGCAGGGCAGACATAGAATATGGAAGCAGCTAGATGAGGTTGGATGGTCTGCCTGCATTATTTCCACTTTCATACACTTCATGGGTTTCTCCCATCCAACCCCAAACTTCACGAGCTGCTTCCTTTGCTCTTCATACACTGAAAAAGAAAAGAAAAAATGGCAAAGACAAATGAGATATAAAAGATCTTCTGTGCCATGTTTACACAAGATACTTAGAATGTAGCAAACCCACCTTATCTGCTGTGTCATATAAAACACTTTACTCATTTTAACCCTCCCACTGTCTTCATGGGTGACCCCACCAGGAAAGTTGACCACTGAGCAGGGTTGATGGTTTATCCCTTGAGGTCCATGTGGCAGGGGTGAGGTCTTTCCTGGTGGGGTCACCCATGAAGACAGTGGGAGGGTTAAGGCTTCTAAAATAGTTTGATTGTACACATTTTGTGAAAGACAACTGTTTAAACCTATTATGACTTTAAGGTTTATTCCAATGATTTTCAGGTTTTTGTAATGGTTTTAAAGTGTCATAATGGTCTTGGCCCTTCTAGCCTTTCTGAACTGACTTTACCATACAAACCCTCACGTCCTCTGCACTCCTCTTGCAGCCATCGCCTTGTGATCCCGAATGTCAGGACAAACAACAATGGTCAGGCGTCCTCACAATATAATGGCCCTTGCCTCTGGAGCAGGCTGCCTGAGGACCTCAGGACCAGAGAGAAACTTTAAGAACAGGCCGAAGAATGAACTTTTTTAGCTTAGCTTTTAACTGCTTATTATTTATGATTAAATTTCTTATATTTTAAGAAAGTTTTGTTATATATTTATGATTTGATATTGTTTTACTATTTCTACAATTATATTGGTCACTACTTATTCATACATTACCTCTTTTTATTTCATTCTTTTACTTATTCTAATACTTTACAGCGTTTCCTCAGTGGGAGCCCTCTGCCTCAGGGCCAGTGGTCAGCGGCAGTGGCCTGGGTGCTCTCCAGGTAGTGCTTGGGTGTAGGTGGGGGCCCTTGTCCTCCCTCCTCTGTGAGACCTGTCTCGGTGCCCTGGCTGCTGCTGTGGATCTACTGGAGTTGGATCAGACGGCTCGCCTGATGGCGTTTCCTGACTCATCTGAGTTCTGCCCAGTGTTTGCATATGTTCTCTAATGTGTTGTGTGTGCATGTGGGTATGTGTGTGTGTGTATATGCGTGTTACTGGGTCGGGGAAGGGGGTTTCAATTGACAATGAATTTTGTGGGATATGTCAGGTCTTTTCAATCTGTGGGTCATTTTTTTTCTTCCTCTGAAGCTATTTGAGTTTCATTTTTTTGTTTGAAAAGCGCTTTATAAATAAAGTTGTAGTTTGAGTGTAACCAGAAAAAAGCCAAATACCTGTCTCAACAAATCTACGCAAGTAGCTTGTGATCTAACATTTCACAGCAAGAGGAGATTCGCTGTCATCCTCCAGCTCTTCTTCATCCGGCCAGGTGATGTGGTCCAGAACCATCTGAATGTGACAAAATAAAATAGCATATGATTAAAAAGTGAAATTAGGAAATGCTCATATTTATTGAGTTTTAAGAAATGAATACCTCAGCATTGCAATCTGCCTTTTCCTGGCATCGGAATACGACAGATAAGACATCTGACCTGGCCAGATGTCAGTGCATCCCTGACCTGGTGGACCAAGGGCTACAAAGAATGAACCTGCGGGCTGGACGTGGCCCACAGACTGTCAGCTGAGTACCGCTGGTCTAAACAGTGCCTGAAAATAGGATCCCCGAGAAAGGAAACAAGAGTTAAAGGTTTCAAATGATTACTTTTTATTGTTTTACTGGTGATTAAAAAAAACTAATTGTAACTATCAGGCTGATATCTAAAATGTTTATTTTTTTAATCAGAAGTTGGTTAGTTGGTGCTGCCTAATCGTTGCAGCTTTGATGGCCAGCAATTAGTAACTCCCTTATACATGTAATTCAAGCAATATACACGCAATTTAAAAAGTAAAATGCTCATTATACAACTTATAAGTATAATTATAACTTTGCCGCACGTCATGTGACCATCACGGGAGCCCTGGTCACGTGACGCAAGTCAGCTCCATTTAACTGTTTTCTTTGACCAAGGAAGGACAGTGTCCTCAAAGCCTGACATTGAGAAACACCCCTGGGATTATACCCAAACACAGTGGCCTTAATGCAAGACTTCAGTGTTAGCAGTGGCGTTTTTGTTTCTGCTAACTTAGCAAAGCAGCTCATATAAACTTTAGCTAGACTACATATTTGTACAAATATCTTATAAGGCCTTAATAATGGTATAAATTTTATGACGTTATGTTAGTGTGTCACCTTGTTTAAATAAAAAGACGAGGAAATGACTAAAATAAGTTTAGAAAGTCCTTTGAAATGTACTTACCCCAGCTCGTTCAGCCATCGCGAACTGCAGACGGCAGCGGACTGAAAGCCGAGGGAAAAACGCAGCTCTCACTCTGATTGGTTGAGCCTGTTGTCCTGGAAACCAGAGCCGACCAATGACAACCCTCCCTCTGTGGCTCCTCCTTCCGCCCCCACCCTCGCCCTCATCCCCTGCTCCGCTCGCCTCTGCAGATACGCACAGCTGCAATTTGCAACACACAACCTGCCAGAAGTGTTTCAAAAGTCAGACTCGCGAGAGGAGAGTTGTGCGCTTGTAAAACAACAACTGAGCATGCGCAGAAACGTATTTGAGAAGTTGTATTTACTGGGTCGCAGAAGAAAATTTTACATGTAAGTTTATTTTGTTTCACATACAATTTACTTTTTCTTACAAGTACCATTTATCTTCACAATTTCACACATGTTGATGTGCAGCTTCTCACATTTTAATGCACAGACACTCACCTCAAAACTTCAAGCTCACCTTTTACGGTACACACACTCACACCCAATCTTCAAGTCCACATTGTGTTGTACGGAATCAGACAACAAATTTACAAACTTGTGCATTTTGACACATATTAATCGTGAAAATAGTTTCAAAAATCAGATGTGTGAGAGGAAAGCTGTGCAACTGTAATAAAAAAGTTGAGCGTGTGCAGAAACAGATCTGTACACTTGTGTTTACAGACTTGTAGTTGAAAATGTCACACACAACTGTATTTTATTTCAAATGCATGTGAGTGTTTCTTACAGGTGCATATTTAGCTTTACAGGTTTACGGGTGTTGGTGTACAGCTCCTCACACTGTACTGCACGCACACACACACACTGTTTTCAAGCACCCATCATGTAGTACAAATACACACAACAGATCTACAGGTTTGTGCTTTTTGAAACAGATTGACCTTCATATAGAAGGCGTTGCATCAAATAAAAGCCATTTATTTGACCATTTCCAGTGCTTATTGAAGGGTTTTGTAACTTTCGCCTCTTCTATATAATCCCAGCTTAGTTCTGAAGCTTTTTTCCCAACCATCTTAAAGTCTTGTCTCACTGCAGCCATCAGGGAATCTGTAAATGGGAGTAAGCCACATCTCAACTTCAACGAAATGGAGACAATCTGGAGAGTGGCAGTGCAATCTCCACACTCACTATCTACTGTCAAGTGGAGCGTGTGACAGAGATGTAGCTCAGTCCCAAACATTATTACTTTTAAGCGTTGTATACCAGGTTACAGACAGCAGTAAACATTTTCCACTTTTCCACTCATTGACTGCACTTTTGGCCAAAAAAGGTTTCATCAGTGTCAGCAGCATGGGCTGACCTCAGATGTTAAAGCAACCTTTTGCCTTATGATTTTCCTCTGACTGTAGGACAAGGACCTGACTTCACCTTTGAGCCACAGGGTATTACAGCTGCCTCTGAGAATTTTTATTCCTGTGGTTGTTGTTAAAAGAGAAATTAGTGACCTTACTAGTAGCCTCCTGGTTACTCAGGTGTGACCAAGTCCTCCAAACACACCCACATCACCCCGCTTCTCCTCCAGCTTCACTGGCTGCCAGTCAACTTCAGGGTTCATTTCAAGATCCTGGTTCTGGTCTATAGGGCCTTACATGGACAAGCACCATCTTACATTGGTGATCTTCTTAGTCCCTACACCCCCAGCAGGTCCCTGAGGTCCAGTGATCAAAGCCTACTGGTTGTGCAGCACCAGGCTAAAGACCAAAGGTGACAGATCATCTGCTGCTGTGGCCCCCAGACTCTGGACCTCTCTCCCCCTGAGCCTGAGATCAGTGGACTCAGTGGTCTCCTTTAAAAAGCAGCTGAAGACTCACCTGTTCGGGCTTCGGTATGACCTCCTGTTGACTCTTCCTCACTACCTTCTCTTCATGCTGCTGATTCTACCAATTCTGTCCTTCCTGGGATGCCGTATGACCTTTTCTTATTTATTTTCTTTCTTCCTTCTCATTTTTTAAATAGAAAATTTTCCATTGTACCCATTTTGATTTTATGATGTTTTCTACATATTATTTTCTAAACATTCAACTTATTCTTGTTGACGGTGAGCATTTTTACGTGAAAAATGTGACAGATTTGTGGTCCACGTTCATTTACCCTGAGACAATGCGATCCCTTCATGCTAATCCTCATGTTTTGGGTTTTTAGAGAAGAAAAATATTTCTAAACACCAGCTGTCACGGCTCAAACGGGGCACCATTACACTTCTTCTGCTCACGGAGCCAGAGGGGTGGGAGGACTATCTTGAAGAGGGACTGCACACCATCTTGAAAAGTTTGCCCCCTCACATATACTGATGTTCCACAAACAGGACGTTAATATCACCAACCATTCCCATTTCATTAAGGTGTGTCCATATAAATGACCCACCCTGTAGTAGTGAACTTAGAATAATACAAAACCCATCCTCACACACCTGCGATTCCAAAGCCCCCTTCAGACAGGCCATGAAAAACGGAAATGTTCCGGAATCTGTCCGTAAGACCTTTCTGTCTGAATACAAACATCCGGATAACGTGTTCCGGAATTTATCCGGACGAAGCCCCTATTAACAGGTCTGGACTAGTTACGGACAGGGTGGCTGCTTCAGACTGGTGAGGTAAAGTTCCGGACAAGGGGGAGGGGGAGGAGGAGGGGACCGGGGGACGCTGTGCGCACCTAGATAGCCCGCTCCTGTAGCATGCGGCGAACCACGGCAGCTCGCCTCCTACGGTACCGCCTAGACGCGCGACGGAGCGCTTCACACCGCTTCAGTGATTCCTTTAACCATTGAGCTTCATCATCCAGGTCTCTGATGCGTCTTCGTGTGCGCAGAATTATGCTTAAGCGCCTCGTGATTTTTATCTTGAGAGGCGCTATAGAAATGATATTTTCTTCTTCTTCTTAACATAAGTCCGATTCCCACCCCACCCCACCCCCCGCCGCCGTCAGACATCTGGAACTTTTCCCTGCTGTGTGAACGCAGCCGAAAGGACAAGTTCCGGTACAAAAGTGGTGTGTCTGAAAACACAGTTCCGGTTAAAAACCGGATTGAATTGTTCGCAAATGTTCCAGAATGTCTGTCTGAAAAGGGCTCAAGATGCTTGAAATCCTCAAAAAGAGGGACTCCAGCTCCACCTTAAACGATTTAGTGGAGACTTTCTAAAATCAGACGTCGACCTAAATGTAATGTAGGGGGTACATTTGCTGTGGGTGCTTTTAAATAGAACAGGGGAGTTACAGCTGGTGTTTTTATTGACTTTATAAGTTTAATGTTCATCCTAAGGAATACCCAGATTGGTTCATCTCATTATGTTATCGATTCCATCATCCTTTATTTCACATCTGGACCTTGCGAGCTCACAATACAGCACTAAAACGTATTATATACTCTGAATAGCTTGTGCTCTAGTTAACACAATTCACTAGGGTCTCATTAAAAGGATTTTAATGAATAAAGAAATAACTTAATGTGCTCCAGTGGTGACCTATGATGATTTAGAACATCATTAAGATCAGCCATCATCAAAGTGTGGGCTGATGCTGGCGAATCATCAAGATTGTGTACAAAGCTCTGAAAAAACAGTAACTTGTTTACAATTTTTTCTGTGTGTGTGTGTGTGTGTGTGTTTTCAACTTTCTCTTTTTTTCTTGTTAGAGGAATTGAAACAGGCCAGCCACCTTTCTCTGGAGAGGGATGGATTGGGGTATCTGTTGTTACAGCATGTGAGATTTCTTCCTTGAGGACGTCTTGTTGATAATTAATCCAGTGTGGGGGACTGGTCGTTTGCTGAGTGGAGACACTTGGTTATTGTCCTGTTCTTGAAGCCTGGGAAGCCTCCTGGAGCCGCAGAATCCAACAGGTCTATTGTCCTGATGTCCATCTGTGTGGTTGCCTCATGCTATGTGTATCCTTTTGAGAGGGCCTGTTTTTTGACCCTCATCAGAGTGATTTTAGGCATGGACAGGAAGCAGTGCTGGAAGTGTTTTGGGATTTTGAGAAGGCCTACGATATGTTGTGTGTGTGTGTGGGGGGGGGGGGGGGGGGGGGGCACATCTTGATCTCCTTGTATAAGGTGGTGGATGCATGGGATGATACTGGAATGGATTGAGGATTTCTTGTATGACGGAATGATCCAGGTAAGGGTGGGTTCCTTGTTTTCTAGGTCTGTGGCGGTGGAGAGCGGGTTTTTGCAGGGTAGTGTGCTTAGTCTGGTTTCTTCTTAATGTAATGGGCTTTTTTACTCCCTGAGTGAGGAGGTCCTAGTTTGTTCTTTCTGGAAAGAGGGGCCAAAATCTTTATTTTGGATTTTTCAGGGTTCAGGTGAGTTTGAATGGGTTTTAAGGTGCCCTCGACTAATGCCTGGATCACACTTAGCGATTTTTGGCCGTTGCACAGGATTCATGTCCCACTTTGAGAACTCCAGAAATGTGGCACACTGTACAGCGCAAGATTTCAGTGCTGCAGACTGCACAACGTCCCACCCCTGCAGGACAAGCAATGTCACGAGCGCACCTCCAGAAAGCATACGTCAGCAGACCTCTAACTAAAGCAAATCTGAAAAGATAAAATAAGGCCGTTAACATATTATTTTTATTTATTTATTTATTTATTTGCGTCAGCTCATGACCCAGCTCATCTTCCTCAAAGAGGAAGCATCGTTTTAAAAACCCTCTCTATGGCCTCAGACTCTAACCATAACCTTAATTCCCTCCAACCTGACACAGCCAAACAAAACAACGTAAGTTTCGATTTCGCCATGGAACAGAACGCGTAGACGGCTTTGCCGCTGGCCGCTGTCGCGGATCGCCTCCCGTGTGTCAGGTAATAAAAGCGACAGCGACAAAGTTGTTGGTGCCATACAGGCATCTGAGTATTTCAGAAACTGTTGGTCTTCTGGGATTGTCAACAACCATCTCTAAGGTTTACAGAGAATGGTCTGAAAAAGGGAAAACAAACAGAGACTCTGCCATATGAGTGAATAGGTGCACCCTGTATCAATCACAGCATGGCATGTCTTTCCTCTCACGCCAATAGCGACCTTCAGGGGGGAATGGGTGAGACCTTACTTTGGCGCACTACTATGAATAAATCTGAAGTCTTTTGTGGATTTCTGTGGGCAGCCTTGTCCTAAAGTATTTTCTAGAGGTGGGAAAAATGATCGATTCTAAG